CCTCTCCACCACCCTCTCCGCCACCACCGTCGCCGCCGCCACCCTCGCCGCCGCCGCCGAGCCCACCTCCGCCGAGCCTGCCACCCTCGCCGCCACCGCCCTCGCCACCTCCGCCCTCGCCACCGCCGTCGCCTCCGCCGCCGTCGCCTCCGCCGCCGTCGCCTCCTCCGTCGCCACCGCCACCCTCGCCACCGCCGCCGTCTCCGCCGCCGTCGCCACCGCCGTCGCCGCCGCCGCCCTCGCCGCCGCCTCCCTCCGCCTCGCCCTCGCCGCCGCCCGGCGGACGGCGAAACCTGGCCGACGACGAGGTTGAGATTGACGTCTCTGCGCCAGCTGCGAGTCCGCGTGCTCCTTTGCTGGCCGTGTGCGTCTTGCTTGCCGGAGCTGCGCTTTCGGTCACCGCCTGGCGGCGCAGGCCCAGGTGCTCGCAAAGCCTGCTGCCCGTGTCGGAGAGGGATAGCACGAGAATCTCTGGCCGGAGCTCGATGTGATATCTGACGAGAGTTCTACACTCGACTGCGGTGTGCGGAGAGTTAAGAGTGTGCGGTGCTTTGGCACAGTAATTGGCTTGGGCGTCTGCACTGGACCTGAGCGGTTTTTACCGGTTGATAATAAACAGAGCGACTTATTTGATATCGCCAGCCGCCTTGGAATAGTTCCGTCAGTGGCTGCACTTGTCGCCCATAGATGGCGCGTGGCGCGGTCGGATGACTAGGGGAGAAAAAGGTGCCGGAGATCCTACGGCTTTAGCTCGCTGGGAGACGTGCGCAACCTAAACGCTAAAGTTGGGAATAGGGGAGAAGTGTCAGTGTGAGGGGAGGGCGTAGGCTGGCGTTTTTGCCTTTGAAATGAACAGTTTTTTATTTGATATCGCCATCCACACACACACACACGTTTCGAGCTGGCACATTCTCGTCCGATCTCGGGAACGCCGCGAAGCGACGAGTGAACACCTCGCGCTCCGTCGCGACGGGCGAGATCGCCAGTTCCTCGTACGCAAGTGCCGAGAGGCAAAAGAGGCGGCTGCGAGCCTCGTGCTCGGTCATGCCCCTCTTGTCAGCAGCGGCTAGCTCACACAGCCCTCGCGTGAAGTCGAGAATCTGGCCGCAGCGGTGCTGAAGAGCCTCGCGCAGCTCAGCCAGTGCGCACCCCTCGCGAAGCCGCGCAACCTCTGCGGTCTGGGAGGAGGCATCGTGCTCGGCGACGAGCGCATTCAGCTGCTGCTCTCGCAGCTCGAGCGCCGAGCGGGCGTCCGCGAGAGCGGCTGCTGACTCGCTTGCTGCGGTCTCGGCGTTTGCCTGCAGCTCGTTTGCCTGCAGCAGCTCCTCCGCCAGCCGTGTCGCGTGCAGCGCCGAGCCGTCGGCTGCGGCCTGGATGGCGTCGCTCTGGCGCGTGTGCTCCTGCTGCAGCTCGTCGTACTGATGGATCATCAGCACCAGGTCGTCCTCGCGCTTCTGCAGGGCGGTCGAGGTGCGGACGAGCTCAGCCGACGAGGAGACCGCCTCGGCCTCCGCGCTGCGCAGCTCGCGGAGCAAAACCGTCCTCCAGCTGTCGCACAGGATCTCGAGCTCTCGCTCCCGCAAGGCGCCCGACTCGACCAGCTCCAGCCGCTGCGTCGCCTCGTCGGCTCGCGCGGCAGCCTCCTCGAGGGCCGTCGCCGTCGCCATCCGCAAAGCCACCATCTGCGCCTCCGCCGTCGCCGCCGCAATGCCCCCCTCCTCCGCCTGCTCCTCCGCGTGTTGCAGCGCGGCGTGGAGGGACGCCACCGCCACCTTTGCCACCTCCCCCATCTCCGCCACCTCCATCGCCGCCGCCGCCCTCGCCCCCTCCGCCTGCTCCTCCGCTTGCCGCAGCGCGGCGTGAAGCGAAGCAGTCTCCGCGCGCGAACAAGCAAGCCGGGCCTGAAGCGCGGCGCCGAGGGCGGCCTTTGCATCGAGGGCACCGCGCAGCTGGTTGCTCACGGTGGCGAGCTCGAGGCTGAGCGTGTTTCCGTCGCGCAGCGCCGCATTCTCCGCGTGGAGCCGCTGCAGCTGCTGCTCCATGCCGGCGACCGCGTCCTTTGCGCCGCGCAGCTCCTCCGCGAGGATCTCCTTCTCGAAGGCCTCCATCCGGCCGCCGGCCGCCTCGGAGCGCAGCCGCGTGTTTTCGATCCGCAGCTTGGAGTTGTCGGACGTGAGGTCCTCGAGCCTGCGCTGCTGCGCCTCGTTGCGCGCCTGCGCCTGCTTGGCGTCCACCTAATGGGACATGTCCCGGACTCGTCGCGGACGTGTGCATGGCACGTCCTGGACGGCACGAGCTTGCTCGGCGTCCACCTCGAGTGTGCAGAGGAACTCCTCGCGCGAGGCCGCCTGCTTGTGCGCCGCACGCAGCTCATCGGCGGCGTCGGCGTGCTGGTCGCGCAACCTTTCAAACTCTAAGAGGAGCTCGTCGCTCACGCCGCGGTCCGCGTTGCCAACTGACCGGCCGGGGAAATCGGCGGCCTGTGCGGAGAAGGGCGCGGGAGGGCCAAATGAGCGTTGTGCACGCGCGACGCGACGGTGCGCCCTCCCACCGACACCCCCCCCCCCCAAACCCACCCCCTCCGCACACCTCGCGGAGGCGAGCGTTCTCGCGCTTGTACAGCTCCAGCTCGGTGAGCGTGCGGCCCATGCGCGCCTTCCACTCCTGCGGCGGCGCCTTGCGCAAGAGCTCGGCGTTGAGCGAGCGAACCGCGTCGCGCCGCCAGTGCTCCCAATCGCGCTCCGTCGCCTCTGCCACCGCCGTGTCGTACCACTCTCGCATCTCGTGCTCCGACTCGGCCAGGGCTGCCTCGCGCTCCTCCAGCGCCGCCTCGCGCGCCGCCAGCTCCTCGCCGCGCCGCTCGGCCGCCAGCTGCGCCTCGTGCGCCGCGGCGGCGCTGGCGGCAGCGACGGCGCCGAGCGCGGCGGCGGAGGAGCTCTTTCTGCAGGCGACGGCGTGCCCGCCGTCCGCCGCACTCGCGCACCCGCCGCCAGCCGCCGCGGGCGGGAGAGGGCTGAGGAGGCTGGTGAGGTCGCCCTTGGCCAAGTCTCCCCCCGCCGGGCGGGGAGGGGTCGAAGCCACGGCAGCCGCCCGCGGCGGCGGGGGCAGCCGAAACGTGCCGCCGGAGGGAGAAGCGAGCGGCGTGGCGGTGGAGCCGGCGACGCGTGGCTTCGACCGGTGGGCGGCGGCCCTGCCCGCCGAGCCGGCCCCGCCCCCGCCCGCCGTGCCGGCCGCCTCTCTCCCGCCGCCCTCTCCACCGCTCAGCCGGAGGTCGTCCTCGTCGGCCGATGCGAAAGGGTCGAGGGAGGAGAGGGAGGAGCGCGACGGGCTCGCAGCTGCAGCCGTGCCGCACGTCTCGACGTCGACGCCTGCGAGCCGGGGTGCGTTGCGTGTCGGGGAAGAGAGAGGGTGAGTCGGGCAAGGTGACGCAGGGGGGGGGGGGGGGGCGGCGCCGCTGCACGGCGAGAAGAGGCCGCTCTCGCCGGCCGGAGAGAAGAGGCTGTTATCGGAGGAGAGGAGGCCCCCCCCGGTCGGAGGCCCGCTGAAGCCGCCAGGCCCGTCCCTGCCGCCAGGCCCGTCCCTGCCGCCCCAGGGGGTCGAGGGGGCCCCGGCGGCGAAGTCGGCGGGCGGGGCGGAGGGGGGGCCGCTGAAGTCGAAGGCGGAGGAGCAGTTGTCGCCCGAGGACGGGCCTCGGCTGCGGTCTGCCTCGCCCACGCTGAAGGGCGAGAGCAGGCCGGGCGAGAGCGACGGCGGGTCTCCCGCGTCCAAGCCCGGCGGCGCCGTCTCTGCGAACCGCCGCACCGCGCCGCGGAGAGGACGGCCAGAGCCGCCGCTAGACGGCGTGCGCACCGGAGGCGGCGGCGGCGGCGCGTCCGGCGACGCCGCGAAGCTACGCACCTCAGACCCGACCGCCTCGGGGTCGTGCGTGGCCACAGCCTCCGGCGCACGGTGCTGCACCCTCCCGCCGCCGGCAGCGCCGACCGGAGTGCGCCGGCGTGCGTGGCGAGCCACCCGGCGAGACTCGGCGGAGGGCCCGAGCGGGGAGAAGCCGGAGCCCGCGGAGCTCGGAGAGGGTCCACCAAAGGAGTCCGCCGACTCCTCCCCCGAGCCGGCCGCAGCGCCGAGGCGGCGCGCCACTGTCGCCACCGCCGCCGCGAGCCCGGCTGTTGGCGTCACGAGGGCGCTGCTGGCGCTCTCGTCCACCCGCCGCGGTGGTGGCGTCTCTGGAGGCGGCGGCGGCACCTGGATCCGCAGGCCTGCCGCCGCTGGCGATCGCGCGGTGGTGGTCGCGCAGGCGGAGGCCGTGGAGCGCAGCGCGTCGGCTGGGCGGCAAAAGGCGCCCTCAGCGCGACCACCAGCGCCCGCCTGTCGCAGTCGGACGAGCGTCTGGTCGATTGCCCGCTGCACTGGCGGCGTCGAGGGCGCCTCTTCAGCTGGCAGCGCCCACGCCGTCTCGCGAGTCTCCGTGTGGTAGTAGTACACTGTGCCGTCAGCCGCAGCTGCTTGCCGCCAGCCCGGCGTGGGCGTTGGCTCGGCGGACCCCGCGGCGGTGGAGCCCGGCGTGGGAGTTGGCTCGGCGGAGCCCGCTATGGTGGAACCGGCGGTCGACGCGGAGGCGATTCCGTCGGGATGGCTTCGAAGCTCGGCGAGCGCCGCGGCTGCCTCTGCCTCAAACGATGAGCCGCTCAGCGGCGACAAACCACCAGATCCGCCGTCGCGGTGGGACGTCTCGGGCACAAACGCGCCCGAGGTCGGACGCCAGGGTGGTGGCTCGGCCTCGCCGCTGCCTCCCGAGGAGGCGGAACGAGAGGCCATATGGACCCTGGCCAAGAGCCTTTCCAACGCAACTGCCAGGGTTCGGACTTTCTGCGGGGTATGGTATGGAACCGAGCTTGCTCTAGAAACCATCCGAGACCATACCCCCCCGCCTGCTGACAGACCTGCTGGGGTATGGTAGGGCTAGTCTTGGGCGGTCAGGACCATTGGAACCCAGCAGCATCACTGCATCAGCAAAACAAAATCTCTCTCTGCATCAGCTCTGTTTTCTTTCTATCTTTTTACAGCCAAACGCTCCTCTCACAGCAGACTGGCACGACACGGGTGTGGACTGGCGCGCACATGACTAACAATGACCGGAAGGGAAGCAAAGGCCAACTTCTCCGCACTCTCGTCAGATATCACATCGAGCTCCGGCCAGAGATTCTCGCGCTATCCCTGTCCGACACGGGCAGCAGGCTTTGCGAGCACCTGGACCTGCGCCGCCGGGCGGTGACCGAAAGCGCAGCTCCGGCAAGCAAGACGCACAAGGCCAGCAAAGGAGCACGCGGCCTCGCGGCTGGTGCAGAGACCTCAATCTCAACCTCGTCGTCGGCCAGATTTCGACGTCTGCCGTTGCCGTTGCCGTTGCCGTTGCCGTTGCCGTTGCCGTTGCCGTTGCCGTTGCCAGGAGACAGCGGTGGAGGCGACGGCGGCGGCGGCGACGGGGGCGGAGGCGACGGCGGCGGAGGCGACGGCGGCGGCGGTGAGGGTGGTGGCGACGGTGGCGGCGAGGGCGGCGGAGGCGAGGGCGGTGGCGGCGACGGCGGTGGCGACGGCGGCGGCGACGGCGGCGGCGGCGAGGGTGGCGGTGGCGAGGGCGGAGGCGAGGGCGGCGGCGACGGAGGTGGGGGTGAGGGTGGCGGAGGCGACGGCGGGGGGGAAGGCGGAGGTGGCGAGGGCGGTGGCGGCGAGGGCGGCGGCGAGGGCGGCGGAGGCGAGGGCGGTGGCGGCGACGGTGGGGGTGAGGGCGGCGGAGGCGACGGCGGCGGAGGCGAGGGTGGGGGCGACAGCGGCGGAGGCGACGGAGGCGGAGGCGACGGTGGTGGTGAGGGTGGAGGTGGCGACGGCGGCGGCGGCGAGGGTGGCGGCGAGGGTGGCGGCGAGGGCGGTGGCGGCGAAGGCGGCGGCGGCGACGGCGGTGGCGAAGGTGGCGGAGACGGCGGCGGTGGCGAGGGCGGTGGCGGCGACGGCGGGGGAGACGGTGGCGGCGAGGGCGGCGGAGGTGTAGGCGGCGGGGGTGAGGGCGGCGGCGACGGCGGTGGCGAGGGCGGCGGCGGTGAGGGTTATCCGATACTTCCTCAAACATATCTCAAAT